CACACAGGGTCTGCAGGAGAGGGGCTGGGTCAGGGCAGGGAGGGGCGCCGGCCCACCCACATGGGGCTCCCAGCTCTGACTGTGCCCGGTGGCCCTGCCCATGGCATTGCATCCCTGGTTCCCCGTCATCGGCACAGAACCCGGGCTGGGCACTAGGCAGCGTGGGCTCTGAGGCCCCGCCTTCCTCTGCCTCCACATCTCACACTAACATTTCTTTATTCTTTATTATTTTTTAAAAAATATTTTTATCAATTTCAGGAGGAAGCGAGAGGGAGAGACAGAAACATCAGTGATGAGAGAGAATCACGGATCAGCTGCCTCCTGCATGCCCCCACTGGGGATTGAGCCCATAACCCTGGCATGTGCCCTGACCGGAATCAAACCCGGGACCCTTCAGTCCGCAGGACAATGCTCTATCCACTGAGCCAAACCGGCTAGGGCGCCACTACCATTTCTTTATCTGGAATCTGGAGCCTGAGTGGTATCCCCTGCCCTCGGAGGACACATGTATACCTCCCGCATCCCTGGCCCTACAGCGCTCACCCTTCACCCTCCCAAGCAGGCAGGCGGGCTGCGGCCTGGAGGGGACCTGGGGAAGCACCGGGTTTGCAGTCCCCCCCTTGCACCCAGGGAGCCCTTGCCTCTGAACCCGGCGGGGGAGGAGGCCCTGCTAGTCTCCAGGCCTGAAACTTGCACATTCCCGCTGGGAAAGTTTGGCCGCATCTCCTCCCTGAGTCACACACCCCAGGACCCCGGCTCCTGCAAGCCTGGCAAGATGGCCCTCCCCAACCCCATTCCTAACACCTTGCGCTGCGACCCAGGCGGGGGAGAGGGCTTCGCGTGGGGCGAGGGTGGGGGGAGGAGGCCCTGCTAGTCTCCAGGCCTGAAACTTGCACATTCCCGCTGGGAAAGTTTGGCCGCATCTCCTCCCTGAGTCACACACCCCAGGACCCCGGCTCCTGCAAGCCTGGCAAGATGGCCCTCCCCAACCCCATTCCTAACACCTTGCGCTGCGACCCAGGCGGGGGAGAGGGCTTCGCGTGGGGCGAGGGTGGGGCCCACCAGGCAGAGCCGGGGCTTGGCCAGTGAGGAGCA